CTGATTTTAAAAAACAGAGCATGAACACTGTATTTTAAGATTTACTGAAAAGCAACAGAGAGCTGGTCTCCGCGGTCTTGTAGAAACCAAAGCATTTCTATTAAGGGGAAGAGGTTTTAACACACGTGATACATAAACTCACTGCCACTGAACTCCGTCTCTGCCTCTGTTCCCCACCCCCCACAGCAACCCCCACACCCAGGTCTGGTGCTATCACTATCACCCCGTTCTTCATTGATTTGCTTGAGTGGGTGCCAATAACGTCTCCATCCGTCCCTGTCATGTGCTAGTGTAGCCCGATGGCATATCGGGGGCTCTTTCAGGATCAGGGGAATGAGGACCATCATTGTTACTGTTTTTTGGCATATTGAGTATGCCATGGGTAGCTTGCCAGGCTCTACTGTGCAGGCAGGATACTCTCAGTAGCATGCTGGGCTCTCCAAGAGGGATGGAGGCTTTTGGGACAGCCTCTAATCACCTTTACAGGTATTCCCAGTCAGGCACGTATGTGGGCAGGGTACTCTCAGTGGTATGCTGGGTTCTCTGAGAATGAAAACTAGTCCGGGAGCTTGTTTTTATCGTCTCTGGATCTTGGCTGTTGATGGTGTTACACGGCAGTTGGTGGGTGTAACTGTCTAGCTACCGGAAGATTGGGGATCTGGGCGGAGGAGACCCAGCCCCAAATGAGCAGGCTTGGAGATCTCAGTCCCAGGTCCCACACACCTGGGCTCATCTGCGGTTCCTTCATGCGCGAGGATCGTCAAGTGAAGAGTGAAGAGTAGGTGCCACTCTTCAAACATCAGAAGCAGAAACTGCCCTTGTAAGGGTGAGACTGATGCCATAACAGGCAGCAGAAATCAGCAAAATCAGCGAGGCGTCAGGTTCAGTTACAGGAACTAAGAGTTTCAGTTTCCCAGCAATAAAACAACGTGTAACTAGCCAACCTGAACCCACCTGGGAAAGTTCCTGGGCCCAGCAAGTGGGTTCCATCAATCACTATGCACACCGTCAAAATGCCCCAGAAATTGTCTTTTGCTAATCCTAAAAGAATGAGTAGTTTATGTAACCATGAACTGTTATTGGAAACTATTGCTTAATTATTGCCTGACCACTGTTACCCTAGACACTTGCCAAAATACCTTTATTTGGTAATTAGGCAAGTTTTTTTCCTGAACCAATAAGGCATGTATGCTTATGTAATCAAAGCCTATATAAACTGCTTGCTGCCTGAAGTCGGGGTCACTATCAAGAGACCACTCTGTGAGATAGTTGACTCCAGTATACTGGAATAAAACTCCTCCTGCTCTTGCATTATCGAGTTAGTGTTACTGTTCATCTTGCCACTTGGGAACCCATAGTCCTGGGCTTAACACCCTCTAACCTGAGACGTGGTTTGTGACTGAGCCGGCTGCTTGGGGCAGTAGGCAGGCAGACAGACCCCTTCAGTAGTAGCGAAATGTACCCCACCCCCCACGCCCCCAGACCAGGCAAAACCTGGACAGCTTTTGAAACAGGCAGGCAAGCATGTGCTTGAAAAGTCGTGGTGATTGGAAGCACCTGCGAGAAATGTAGCACTTTTATTAAGAAACAATGGTAGCATAATTCAAGATTAAAAAAACAGGTGTCTGATGAGTTGTTTCGGAAGACAGAAAATTGCTCTTTATAGGAAATCCTAGTTAAAAAGGGGGGAAAAAGGGACTTACTCCATTTGTCTGGCAAAACATTTTATTCACAAAATCTTCCTTCTTTACTCTCTGCTCAAATAACTCCGAGGGCTGGAAGCCAAGGTATGCTATTTACACAGCTCAAAATCTGAAGAGACAGGGATGCCTTTTTTAGTGGTGCCATATTCGGTGACAATCTAGCCCCCTCCTCCTGGGCTTTGTTCTCCCAGCAGAACGACGTGATGGTCTGAGAGGCTGGAGAAATAAAATCCCGTCACTGCCCACCACTCCCCAACCCTCAGGTCACATTTTTTTTTTTAAACAGAGGAAATCCTGCTTTCAAACCCTCTCCTTTCTCCCAAGTGAAAGCAACAGTCACAGAAGTGCCTTGTGATTGCCCAGTGACACGGATATTTTTATTGCACTGAGGAATAACCACTCCTTTCTCCCGTTCACAGATCTCTTCTTTACATCTCCAAAAAATATAATTCAACGTGTGAAAGGGATTATTACAACCCTCTTTTTCCCTGCAAAACAAAAAAATGTGGGTCTCCTTCCAAAAACAGACCAAGTGCCCCCACCTCCCCCACACTCACGGGTCCCCAGGACCCTCTGGGCTTGCTTTACTTGATTAGAATGCACGAAATTTGCAGTGAGTGATGTAAGCAGGTAAGACCTGGGGGAGGAGTGACGATGTGAGACTCAGAGACCATGAGCTCCATCCAGGTTTCTGCCCCCGCCCTGCAAACCTACTCCACCAGCTATGGAGATGTGGGGGTGACCCCAGGCAGCCCCAGACTTCAAAAACCAGTTCAGAATCTTGAATGCTATTCAGCTAGGCATCTCTTTACACAGAATGGGCAGGTGCTAAATAGATAATGCTCTTTCCTCCTTCCACCAGGCCTTCTGAGCACAAGAAGTGGCATACTGCTAGCAAGCTTGATGGGCATCCTTCCCTCGTCCTCTATTCCTGCCCTGACTTCAGATCTTGGCGATGCTGCCTCTTGCTTATACATGACTGAAGAGTTGGGACTGGTATTAGGTACTCTTGAAAGGTTCCTCAGAAATGGACCCTTTTTTTGATTTTTTGGGTCATATCCAACAATGCTCAGGGGTTACTCCTGGCTCTGCACTCAGGAATTACTCCTAGCAGTGCTTAAGGGACCATATAGGATGCCAGGGATTGAACCCAGGTCGGCCACGTGCAAGGCAAACGCCCTACTGGCTGTACTACTGCTCTGGCCCCAGAAATGGACAGCTTTTATGACTGAATCATGTCATGAAAGGCAAGACGCTCCAAGGGGCAGTTTATGATAAAGCACTGAGCAAGACATTTGTGCCCACTCCCTCCTCCTCTGGCTTGGGAGTGCCCAACGTGTCCAATGCTTGTAACTAGTACTTACATGTACTGTGTGCCATCACTTTCAAATGTCACTTGAATCAATAATAATAGACTGTGACCCATGTGGACAGTTCTTTCAACCTCAGAAAGAACTGCCACAAGACCCACTCACAGCCCCCCCCCCCCCCCCCCACCCCAGGATAAAGCTATCAAGTGTTTTACTGATCTATTCAGGGCAAAAATCCTCATAAGCCAAGTTCTCCGGGTCAAAGATAAACAGAGCAAGATGAATACAGGATCTTGACAACAGATCTCTGTGACACGCCTCTTCTCCATGTGTTTTTGTGGATTTGTTAAGGTCTTGGCTTCGTTCTGCAATGGGTCAATTGGAATGGGTCCAGAACTACTTCCCCGGTTTGGAATCATTCATGACCTAATTAATGTTTTCCACCTTCCTTCCACTGGTCTTTGAGACTGTCACCTACCTCTGTCTAACTTCCTGTCACATAAAACCAGATAAGGTAGGGCAAAAAAAAGGGAAAAGAAACTACTGTTTTCTTGGGACCAGAGTGATAGTATGGTGGGTGAGGTGCTTATCTTGCACATGGCCAACCCAGCTTCAATTCTTGGCATCCCGTATAGACCCCGAGCACAATCAGGAATAATTCCTGAGTGCAGAGCCAGGAGTAACCCCTGAGCATTGCCGTGTATGGCCCACAAACAAACACACACTTTGTTTTCTCAATATAGAACCTACTTTAAGCTGTAATACACCTTCATACATAATCACCTCTGTGCCAGATATTCTTGTCCTTATAGACACACATTCCTAGCATCAGTTATAGCAAAACACAGGTGATAGAGATATAAACATCCTATAAAAATCCCGTCCCCCCCCCCATTCCCTAAACATCCAGAAGCCCCAAAGAATAGAGGCATAAACAGATCCAGGGGACCGGTGATGATCAGCAAAGCACTAAATGAATGAATGTGTGGCCACAGTGAAGAAATGCAACCAGGGCAGAAGGGAGAAAGGGGCTCAGAGCCTGACAAGGCATGTACTAGGATCCTTTAAAAACGCTGGACTAATTTAGCAGAAGAACAGACAAGACGGACTATGGGCGGCAAAGGCCATCTTTGCTTACATAGTTTTCCTAATTTGTGGCACGGACTAAAGTTCTAGGCAGTTCCTTCTGGATAACTGAGTAAGGTGGAGGGAAAAGGGCCTGATTTATAGAGTTTCTAAACTGGCAAAATGGGGGCCACACTTCAATAGGGCAACACACACACACACACACAAACACACACACACACACACACACACACACACACACCTGCGAATTGCATCAAGAGGGCCTGGACACACACACACACACACACACACACACACACACACACACGTGCGCGCGAATCGCATCAAGAGAGCCTGGAGACACTTTGTCTGACCAGACAGCAGAAACATGCCGTCTATTATTCTACCACTCTGTAAGCTCCAGGCGGCTGGCCGTGGGCAGAGCTGGAGTGTGAGGCTGGGAGAGGAGACCCAGGTGATTCTCCTGAGAGTCAAAGCGTGGTTCTGAAGCCCAGCAGGGCCGAACTGGGGAGCTCGACCCTGGGGGCGGGCCCTGGCCAGCAGCTCTGGGCATGGTGTCAGAAAGATGCGAGGCAGAGCATGGAACTCACATGGACCACAGGCCTTCCCACCCTGCACCTGCCTCCAGAGAGGGCCAAGCAGGACTGCAGAAGGGAGAGAAAAATGGGAGCCCAATGCCCAAACAGCCAAAACAGGTACGGGCGAGACGCAGGGTTAAGCCCTGGGGTTTCGGTCCCCGAGGCTGAGGGTGATGCTGCCGGGGGCTTCAAGCCAGGGGGTTGAGAGTGATGGCCGTGGCCAAGGAGCCTCAGACCGGCAGGAGGTGGCCCCGTGGGAAACCCGGGAGCGTGAGAACCCAGGGCGGTGCTCAAGAGCTTGCGGAGGCCGAACGGATGGAGCAAAGGGACAGGCCGGCCCCTGGGTGACCACCGCCACCGCTCTGGCCTCTGCTCGGGCGCAGACGCTTCTGGTCAAGGGCAGGGCTGGGGGCGGAGGGGGAGACCCCCGCCTCCCCACCTCCCCACCCACTCAGTCCTTCCTGTCCTTGCAAGGCTGGCTCCGGGCGGCCCCCAGTTTGTCCCAGATCTCCGTGTACATGAGGGTCCCGACGAAGACGAAGCAGGTGCCCAGCCAGTGCCAGTGCGTGAAGGGGTTCTGGAAGTACAGGATGGAGAAGATGAGGCTCAGGAACTTGCGCAGCGTCACCACCAGGGTGACGGTCAGGGAGGCGCATTCCGTGGTGAGGATGAAGACGCCGCGGATGCACACGTACCTGGAGGGGCGGGTTAAGGAGGGTCCCGGAGCGAGGACGGGGCGGGGAAGGAGAGAACCCTCTGGCACCTGCTCCTGGCTCACCTACCAAGGAAGCGTGGAGGGTGGGCACCCGGCCCCTCCCTGGGAGCACCTGCAGAGTCCCAGTCGTGCCTTATCGCTCGACACCCCTGCCCCAGTCCTAAATTCCCACTGTGATGTCTTCCCACCCCCGGCACCTCATTGGCCTCCCCCAGGGGTCTCTCTGGAGGGGCTCCCTATGTCCTACAGAGCGCGCAGGGCAGAAGGGAAAGGCATGTGACCTCGCTGGGACAAGCGATGGATCAACGTTCCCCAGCCAGGGGGCAGGAGCGCGCAAAGGATACTGAGTGATGACATTCATGAGGAGGTAGAACCACAGGATGGGCACAGTCACGCCGACCACCGGGACCTGATAGGGCTCTGCGGAGACAGAGGGGCGGGGGAAACACCACGTCACTTCTGCAGCGCACCTTTTCGGTCCTTTAGAACAAAGTCGCAGAGACTGAACCCAACAGAGAGCAACGTTACCTGCGGGGCAGCCACGTGCCACTTTCGCTGCCTGGATTTAAGGCTACGTGAGCCTTAGGAGCACCGAGGTTCTTGAAATAAGATGGTTTTCTTTTTATTTTTTTTTCTTTTTGCTTTCTGGGTCATACCCAGCAATTCACAGGGATTACTCCTGGTTCTAAACTCAGGAATTACTCCTGGCCGTGCTCAGGGGACCATATGGGATGCTGGGAGTCGAACACGGGTCGGCTGTGTGCAAGGCAAACACCCTACCCGCTGTGCTATTGCTCCAGCCCCTAAGATGGTTCTCAATTGTTGGGGGAGCGCTAACATTCACCTCAAAAGGGTCTGATTGTGCCAAGGAGGAGGGAAGTGCAGAGCAGTTCAAAAGGATATGGTCTTGGGCCGGAGCAATAGTACAGGGCATAGGGCGCTTGCCTGGCATGCGGCCGAGACCTGGGTTCAACCCCTAGCACTCCATCTGGTCGCCCAAGCCCTGTCAGGAGTGATCCCTGAGCATAGAGCCAGCAGTTAAGCCCTGAGCGTCACCATGTGTGGCCCCCCAAATAAACAAACTACTACATGGTCTCAGCGGACTACACAAGAAAAAGATAAGCGGGATGTTTAATGCTCCTAGTGAGCTAAGAATCCCAAATTCACCAGTGCAGGCCCACTTCAGATCTATTTTACTAGGGAGTAAAATGCACAAAGAATGTCGTAACCTGGAAGTGGACGTGGAATAGACAGCCATTCCGTTAGGGACAGGATAAAGTGGTGGTGAGTTTAATAATCAATTCCATAACACCAATTAAGGGGTCATGAAAGTGTTAATACTGGCTGAAGAGTAAATCACAGATGGTCTAAAAACAAGGGGGAAAAATTCTTCCTTGCAGAACTATTAAGGACAAAGTAAATTAAGTTTTTAAAAATCATAAAGATTAAGTAGTCACACTAAAAATAAAAGTGGAAAGGCAAATATGAAATTCTATCTATATAATGATTACAACTGTGACTGTCACTGTCCTCCCATTGTTCATCGATTTGCTCGAGCGGGTACTAGTAATGTGTCACAACAAATTGTGAGAATTGTTGTTCCTGTTTTGGGCATATTGAATACGACACAGGGAGCGTGCCAGGCTTTGTCATGTGGGCGAGATACTCTCAGTCGCTTGCCAGGTTCTCCAAGAGGGGTGGAAGAATCAAACTCAGGTCGGCCATGTGCAAGGCAGATGCCCTACCCACTGTGCTATCGCTGCAACCCATGATAACAACTATGTAATACACACACACACACACACACACACACACACACACACACACGTATACATAGAAACAATGTCTAGAAAGAAACTAATAAAACAAGTTTTGTAGAATAAATGGAATTTAACTTTTCTTTCACAAATTCTTGTTAGTTTTATACAGACTCACACAGTAAATGTTTGAGAATAAGACAGAGCTTTGGGATTGCCAAATTATTTCAGTGTGACTTAGGAAACTCCACCAAAGTGAAGCTGAAGATCTGGTTAGCAAAAGTATATACATAAATGGTTTTATGCCTATAAATAAAAGAATTCGCTATTACTATCTGGACTAGTGGAAAATTTCAATAATCCGGTATCCTAATGCCTTGATAGACTTAACATGTATATTGAAACGAAAAGTTAATAAGTGTCATTATTGCTTAATAATGTCAGAGGGCTATTATGATAATTTGCTGAGGAAAGAGACAATCAGTATAATTTAAAACATTTAGATGGATATTCAACTCTTAGAAAATCTAGGTTCATTTAAGATATTTAGTCTCAATGTAAGTAAAAGTATACTTGTTTTGTATATGTATTTGGGGATTTTTTTAGGGGGGAGGGGCACATTCTGTGATGCTCACTTCTGGTGCCTACACTTAGGGATCACTCCCATTGGGCTTGGAGGACCATATGGAGAACCAAGGGTAGCACTCAGGTCAGCCACATGCAAGGCAAGCATCTGCAGCTATACCATCTCTCTGGCCCCAAGAAAAGTATGCTGCTTGACACAGGAATGACTACAGAGAAGTTGGAGGCACACTCCATAAAATAATTATAAATTAAATGCTAGCCAGGGCTGGGGAGATCGTACAGGGGTTAAGGTACTGGTCTCGCAAGCAGCCAGCCCAGTTCAATCCCCAACATCACATTTGGTTCTTCAAGTCCGACCAGAAGTGATCCCGAAGCACAGAGCCAGGGCTAAGCACTCCTGGGTGTAGCTCAAAAGCAAAACCCCAAATCCACCTGCAACTTCTAGCAGTATTCTTGGAACTAAAAACAAATCAAGGGGCTGGAGCAATAGCATAGCGGGTAGGGCATTTGCCTTGCATACGGCCCACCAGGGTTCGATTCCCAGCATCCCATTTGGTCCCCCGAGCACCGCCAGGAGTAATTCCTGAGTGCAAAGCCAGGAGGCACCCCTGTGCATTGCCAGGTATGACCCAAGAAGCCAAAATAATAATAATAATAATAGTAATAACAAAAATTAAAAAATAAAAATAACAAATCAATCTTGACTCAGAATATATTCAATAGCCCTTTGCCTTGAGCAGATGCTCAGAGACTTTAAAAATGACGTGACCAAATCAGACAAAAACAAAAACAAAACCAAAAAATCCTCAATTGTTAAGCGGCTTACAAAGTTTCCTTTCGTGTTCTACTTGGCTGGGATAGGAGTTGGGGGGTGCTGGGGGAAGAAACCCCAGCAGTGCTTGGAGGAACATGCAGAGTCAGGGGCTGAAGCCAGGGCACAAACTCTAACCCCCGGCATCCTCTCCCCAGCCCCTGACGTACAATGTTCCATACACAGAGGAGGGGTTAAGAATTGGCATAAACGGGAATGACAGCATTGCAAAGCCAGAGAACAGTCACAACTTCCCAACTCCTGTTGAGACAAGCGAACGAATGCTTGCCAAACACACACTGTAGTTCTAAATTACGCCAACATTTTTCCAGGAAAGAGCAACATCATGCCTTGCTTTAAAAATGTGTATTTGCAGGGCTGGAGAGATTATTTAGCGGGTCGGGCATAAGCCTTGCATGGGGCTAACCCAGCTTCGACCCCTGGTATTCCATATGGTCCCCTGAGCCTGCCAGGAGTGATCTCTGACCACAGTGCAGGAGTAAGCCCTGAGCATGACCAGCGGTGGATCAGACACAAAACCAAAAAAAAAAAAAAAAATTTGTATATTTTCTCTGTTGTTATTCATTTGCCTGCATGAATCTTTCAGAGACTGTCAGGTCACATTAAGTAATTTTTTCAGTTAACCAGCAATTCATAGGCCACTGATTAAAGAGCCACATGAAAAGGGTGTTGCTAATTTAGATGCTAGACATCTGAAGAAACTGCTTCCTCCTGCCACCTCCCGAACTCAAGTGTAAATAAGGCACAAGCCCTATCACTCCTTTTGCAATTCACCTTGTTCCCAGGCTACCCCGCAGAGCAGAAAAGGAGGGACAAGTGTCGAGGAGCTAGACTGAGGTCCCTCTCTCTGTGGCATGTTACGACTAGGTTACAGTCTCAACACGCCACAGTCAAGTGCAAATGCAGACATTCTAAACTGAAATGGGATTATTTGCAGACAATGTTCTATTTGAGAAAGTACCCATAAAAGCGTCTGTTGCTATGACTACTGATCAATGACATCCTATCCTTGGAAGGTGGGATCGGGGGACAGTTTCAGCAGCATCTGGGACGGAGGTCGGTTCTGAAAGGGTCTGAGATGGGGATCATGAGATCATGAAACCAAACACAGGTCAATTAAGTGTTAAACTGAGACTTTTGCCTTAGAAACAGCAGATCGTCCTGCTGGGTAACCCCATACTCACCAGATTTATTGAACAGAACTGCGTGGTCATAAATATCAGAAGCCAAGAAGATGAAACCAGGAAGTGGAAGGGCATGCTACGGGAAGAAATAGTCCACATAAATTTAAAGTGCAAAAACATCACAAAATCATTAGTTTTACAAAACTTGTCTGACAAACGATACCAAGAAAAAGCAAGTTAGATCCATCATGTCTGGGGCACCAACAACCACCAGACCAGGAATAGTGTGACATCAGCCCAAACCACACGATGCAGCCAGCACTCTCTCCCATACAGGGACATTTAGGAAGAAAAAAACGGTCTTTCTGCCCAAAAGGATTTGTATCATTTCTGTTTTTGCAATGGGTCACGCACATATCATAGGATTTAAAATTATAAAGAACATGAAGCTCGATGTCTGGGAGTCTAGAAAGCGAGTGGGCAAAGAGATCCGATGGCAATATGGAGTGAGAGGAAAGAAAATAAAGACAAGAGTTCAAAGGGGGAGCTAGACAAAGAGGAAACCCCGTGCAGGAGAGTCATGGTACCCCCACCCCAACATCCCAATAATAAGGAATCAGAGCTAACCTTTACCAAGCAGTTACCATGTGCCAGGGACCATTCTACAAGGAAGATGTGAACCAAATAGCAAGTTTCCTTGACATCCCCCAGTCATGGGCTCTAGTTGCAATGAAACATCTCAAAGCACAAGCCTGCAGGTTTAGGACCAAAAACTGGCAAGATGACCAAAAGGCATCTTGCGGTTACTAACCCAGAGGGGCTATGCTCTGAGCATTATGGTAACAAGAAAGGGAGAGGAGAAAGTAAAGTGAGAGGACACAGCTCTCTCTCTCGCTCTCTCTCTCTCTCTCTCTCAGCAGTTTGCAACTAAGAAAGCGGGCACATATAATGAATTCTTCAAATGCTTCGTGAGAAGAATCGAGGACCTTAAAGAGAATTCTCTTGCCAACCCCAACCCCATCACCCCAATGCCTGCCAGCTTACTATCCCCTGAGCAAGCTGTTTTTACAATGTACTTCCTTTCCTAGGCATCCATTATTAGCTGAAGCCTAATTTCAGCTAAGAGGAACAAAGGGACGAAGGTTTCCTGTTTGCTCGGGCCGACTCCTTATTAGGCTCTGTCCTCACCGACTCATCACTGTCCTCCTGTGCAGAGAACTGAGGCTTAGAAGCTTGTTAGAGCACTTCAGCATGTGAGTTATCAAGCAGTTTACCAGCTAATAAACTGATCCTTCAACTGCAACAGAAAGATGGCATGGAACATTTGGGAAAAAAATATATATATTACAAGTCAGAGACTTTTCTCTTTCCTGGCTTCCAAAAATTACTCACGTTATAAAACAAAGCTTCCTTTGAATGCTTCCCAAATTGTTTATATAGAGTCTCTTGGAAAATTCCCATCCTTGCTGACATCAGAAGAGCAAAAGTCAGTGCTCCAATACCTAAAATGGGGGAAAAAAATAAATAGACCAGTCATGAGACGAGTCCATCGTTTGCTTGCTCATTTCCAGATATTTTATTAAAGGAGTATCTACTGACTATATAAAGGTCTATAAAGATTACAAATTATAGGATATATACAGAATTTTAAATAATCATTTAAAAGTCTTTTTTTTATTAAGACACAGTGATTTACAAAGTTATTCATAGTTGAGTTTCAGGCATATAATGTTCCAGCTCCAACATCACCACCAGTGTCAACTTTCTTCTGCCAGTGTCCCCAGCTTCCTTGTGAGCCCCGAGCCTGCCACCTTGACAGGCACATTTTTAAGTTTGGTTGTTATACTTTGGATCTCATGCTTTCAGTGGTGCTGACTCTGAGGTTTGGACATACAGACATGCCACCCGTCTATACTACAGGTACTCATTCCCTGTGCTCCATGCTGGCACTGCATATGATTCCTGAGCAACACCAGGGAGCACGGAGCCAGAAATCTAAGATTTACAGTTACAAAATATTCTGGATTTTCTGGAGTGTGCGCCCACATTTGCGGCCTCAGGACATCTCCAAACTCTACAACACCAACGTCCCAGTACTCTAGAGTGGGAGTAGATCTAGTACTCTAGAGTAGAGTATTATCTACTCTATATCCCAGTGGTAGCATACAAGATTGAACGGGACCTACGGAACAGCAGCCAACCAGTTCTCCGTAGAAGCTGACCAACCTCAACTCACAAAAACATTAACACAAGAGGCTTAACTTGCAACAACAGCTTAGTAAATCCTCAGACAAAGACTTCACATCCCCATGGTGAGATGCAATTTTCACAAGTTTTCTTCTATGGAAATATTTTTTGATTGTTTTGTTATCTATGAGTGGTAACAAGTAATATAAAATAAATTATTTGGGGGCAGGTTTGAAGGATGGTTGAGAAAATGGAGACAACGGTGGAGGGAAGGTGACAGTGGTGTGGGATTGGTGTTGGAATATTGAATGCCTGTAACAAATAATCATGAACAACCTTGTAAACCACTGTATTTAAATAAAGTAGAAGGCGGAGGTGGGGCAGGGGGGAGAAATATAAAATTTAGAGGTGGGGGGGCTGGAGCGATAGTACAGCGGGTAGGGCGTTTGCCTTGCACGTGGCCAACCCGGGTTCGATTCCCAGCATCCCATATAGTCCCCTGAGCACTGCCAGGAGTGATTCCTGAGTGCAGAGCCAGGAGTAATCCCTGTGCATAGCCGGGCATGACCCAAAAAGTAAAAAAATAAATAAATAAAAAATAAAACAGTAAAATTTAGAGGTGGGTTCCTTAGAATTTTAAAATCAACTGCTGAGATGTATCCTTCTTTCATGGAAATGTCCACAATGAGTGATGTAGAGATTAATGATCCTTTAAGAACTGCTCCAGACAGTGCAATGGGCAAGTAGACAGGAACATTTCTTCCTATATCAAGGGCAACCAAGAACAGGCCACGGCTCCACATTCTGTAACTGGCTGCCATGAACACAGACGTTTCAACGCTTTGTTTCATTTACTGATGACAAAGATTCCGAGACACACGATCCCCAATGCCTCTCTCTTCCGGGGCATCCTCTGTTTAGCTGTAGCTTTTTTTTTTTTTTGCCAAGAAACATGTCCCTCAGGAGAAGACCCAGCCAATAGATGTGCAAAGGCAATTAGCTTCAACTGTGATCATTGTACTTGCCTAGTAACCACCATGCAAATGCTTGGAATCCATCCTTCTCCCCGGAGCTGGTCTGGGAAGTCTAGGAAATAAAGAAAATCACGAGGTACACAAAAAAGTTCCTTAGCCAAGGGCAGTGTCACCCCTCTCCCGCCTGTCCTCTCCTGAAGAGATTTAAACCTTTGTATTACAGAAGCACTTCCACTTATTTAGTCATTATTAAGTACCTGGTATCTAGGTGCCCGTGACAAGGATAAACAGAAATAATACGCGCATGGAGTCTTACCACTTGCTTTGCAGACATGAAAGTGCAAATAAATATCCCCACCGACACCAGGGCAATGGAGGTGTATTTGAATATACTGTATCTGCAAGAAAAAAAATAAAGCTTTAGGAAAGCAAAGATCCAGAGTTTTCTAAATGGAGAGTCACATAATATCTGAGATGACAACAAATCACTCAGACATGAGTTGGGGGCTCGGAGTCACTTCCCGGTGGGGTAGATGTGAGTCTGTGCGCAGAAGAATCTGGTGGCGGACAGGTGATGATGTCACACTCCACTTGTCATTGAAAAGCATTTGTCTCATGGATGGCCATGATCCGGAGACTCATAAATCTCACCACAAGAGACTGTGGCTCACAAAAGAGAACGACAAGCTGCAGAGATGACCCCAGATGCTGCACCAGGCTGAACTTCATCTGGGACAACCGGAGAGGGATGGGTGAGTCCCTTCGCCTGTCTCATCAGAACCCTGGCAGCCAAAAACCTCCAGAACCCAATCACCGCCATGCTCAAGGCGGACCTCCACAGACTCAGGTCGAGCTCCTCATGCATGAGGAAGAATCGGCTGGAAACTCCAGGCTCTTACGGAGTTGGGAATGGACCACCTCCATCCACATCCCTGTTTTTCCAGAACCCGGTGGCCACGCCCAAGAACAACCTCTGGCGGCCATTTAAACTCACTAATGGCCATAATTCAGAGACTCACAAATAAATCACACAAGAGAGCCACAAGTTGTATCGCCCTATCTAAAATTCTAAGAGTAGAGTTTTTATACTCCACATGACAGGCTTGGGTAGTTGTGGGGGTGGAGGGGCGGGTAACTAAAGGTGGTGGGATTGGTGTTGGAATACTGAATGTGGTAAATTACTGTAAACTATTTTATTAAAATAAAATGGGGGGGGGGGAGAAGGGGGAAAGCTTTTGCTTCCAATAGCTTGCTGACCGACACACAGAATGCACCACTGGAAATAAGTTTTAAAAAAAAGATAGATCAGACATGACATTCTACTCCGTTCTCAAGAGTTCACACGAACGCCCAACTTGGATCTTAAGCATCTCCTAATTTCCCTGTCCTCTGGGGGGACCAACCCTGAGTGCTGAAGACACACCACCACATTAGAGGAACAAAGGGTATGGGATACTAGGTCAAGAAGGCAGGCTTGATACTCCGAAATTAATTTAAGCATCCATTTTCGGGGGATGGGGGGTGGGGAAGGAGGGTAATATTTTAAGTCTTCCGAATGACTTCAGTGTTTTTAAATGTTGGCGTCCCTGAATAAAGGAAGGAACACAGAGCTAATAGGATCATTAGCTGTAATAATGGTGGCATTTCACATTAACTAAAATGGTATCATTAACAGCCCTCGAAAGCTATTGATGTGATAAAGCAAAAGGCCTCGGGCGAAAATGAATTAAACTTACAGGACGAGCCATCTGAGGTTTTCTACTCAAATGCCTTTTATTTCTGGTCATGGCACTCCAGAAATGGTCAAGAGAACTGAGAAGCACAGCGAGGGATTTAGACTGGCCATCAGCATCATGGTAGAGAAGAGGGGTAGATGAGGCCAACAGATATGAAAATATGGACCCCGGGGCTGAAGAAATCATAAAGTGCGTAAGGGCACTTGCCTCACATGCATCCAGACCTGGTTCCATCCCCAGCACCCCGTATTATCTCTAGAGCCCTGCCAGGAGTGACCCCTGAGCACAGGAGTGCCAGCAGGAAGCCCTTAGCACAGACAGATGCCGATGTGGTCCCCAAAACATAAAAAGGTAAAGGCCCTCCCGTTGATCGTCGATTTGCTCGAGCAGGCCCAGTAACATCTCCATTGGAGACTTTGTTGTTACTGTGTCTGGCATATCGAATACTCTCGGTAGCTTGCCGGGCTCTCCGAGAGGGGCGGAGGAATCGAACTCGGGTCGACCATGTTGGCCGCTTGTAAGGCGAACGCCCTACCGCTGTGCTATGCCAGACACAGTAACAGCAAAGTCTCCAATGGAGACGTTACTGGGCCCCAAAACATAAACAATCAAATACACACACACACACACACACACACACACACACACACACCTACACATATATACAGAAAGAGGACCTCTTCGGTCTGGAAAGATCCAGACAGAGAAGTTTATAATTCAGATTAAAAAATAAAATACAAAGAGTAGGCCAGCAGGTAGGGTGCTTGCCTTGTACCTGGTCAACTCGGGCTTGCTCCCTAGCACCAGAGTGATCCCTGAGTGCTGAGACTGGAATAAGCTCTGAGCATCTCCAGGGGTAACCCCAAAATTAAAAATAAATAATGGGGAAAAAAATCAAGAAGGACATTGTTAAGGTGTCACTCCATGTGGCTGCCAAGCATTTCAAAGAAAAACAAAATAGTTCATTCGATTTCATTTCAAATAGCATATTGTTCTGGGTTTTGTTCTTCCTTATTATTATTATTATTATTATTATTATTATTATTATTGGTTAGCTTCCCTATCTGCAGACATAGTTTTCCTATGGGTGTTTTGTTTTGTTTTACAACATAAAGCTTTGATCTACTACCATCAGTGTTTCATCAAATGATAACAGTGACAAATGCTTCATAAAGATTAAGGAGCTATATAAATGAAGGGTACATTTTTGAGGGTGGCTTGTGGCCAGAGTGCAGAGTGCATTAAATATTAGGCTTACAAATGCTGAGTTAATTTGCTGTGCATTGGGGAGCCCTGAAGAATTTCAGAGAAGGCGATAAAAATCTGAAGAAAGCCTTTAGGGAGACAAATCATGTGGCAGCCTGTATGATAAACAGGAGATTAAAAAAAAAAAAAAAAGAGGAGTGCAACAGCGGCGGAGAGAGAGGACTGGCACCGTCATTCAAATGAGGGTCTTTAATATTTAACATTTTAATTATAGTAGGGGATACAAAAGAGTCTGCCAAGATAGAATCTATGAAATCACTTAAAGAATAAGGAAGAAAGGTTAAGCTTAAAAAAAATAATAAAACTTGGCTTTGATCACATAGTTCAGGTGTACAGGGCAAAAAAGGTCAGAAACCAAACAGTCTAAATTTTATTTTATTTTATTTTTAGCTTTCTGGGTCACACCCGGCAATGCACAGGGGTTACTCCTGGCTCTGCACTCAGGACCTACTCCTGGCTGTGCTCAGGGGACCATATGGGATGCTGGGAATCAAACCACAGTCAGCTGCATGCACGGCAAAGGCCCTACCCCCTATGCTATCAGTCCACTCCCCAAACAGTCTAAATTTTAAATGCAAATCTTCACAAGCAGTTAGTGGCAACCATCCAGATGGAAAAACAAAATTCTAATAGCACCTGGATTTCTAGTTCAGTGTGGTACTCACAGAGTCAATGACGAAGGACAGGAGAGAGAACAGGGATTAAGGCGTATGTACTGTGTACTGCTCACCCTGGTTCAATCCCCTGACCTGGGTCCCCGAGTGTCTCTGGGGTTAGCCCTGGAAGGCCCCCGAGCTCCACTGGGGTGGGTGAAGGTAATCCCCAGTGCCACTGGGCCCGAGTAGCAGCAGGTCCTCAGGTCCTGGCATTAAACCACTGGCCTCGTTGTCCAAGCAACACCAAGAGGAAGTTTGGAAGCTGCCCCACCTCTCCCTACAAAGAAAAACCCTCAGTAATGATGTGAGCAAAACAGTTCAACCCAGAGAGCATCACTGCGTCGGGGTCCCAAGGGAGCCTCTTCCCTGCTCCTGTACTGCCCCAGTGCACATCACTGTCTTGGAGAGAACTAAGAAATGAGACAGATACCCAAGAGATAATGTCTCCACTGTGAGAAAAGGGATCCCAACTACTTTAGCCTCAGGATGGCCGACCCATACAGAAAACACAAATGTGAATGGCTTACCTTTTCTTCAAAATGATAATTCCTAGAATCATGTTGGCGATTAGAGAACCCTGTGAAGGAGACAAGAGTTAACAATTTTAGTGCCCCAGAGAAAGAAAATATAATTCAAAATAAATGGAACACACACACACACACACACACACACACACACACACACACACACTGAATGGAAAGAAAGCAATATGACAAATAATAAGGCTCAACCGTTCTCACGAAGGCAAAAAGTATAAAGCATAAAAATCAATCATGTAAAATACTAAAAGCTTTTAAATAACAAGAATAAAAGTCATCAGTTTTTGATAGCTTGTCACAGTGGAAAGGGAGGCTATCAGAAGAAATTATACTATAGTTTTAAAAAATGTATTTCTGTTGAATTTTTCATGGAATTCACAACAGCTCTTTTTTCCCCCCAAAATAAAAAAGAAATTTGTACTTAATATTACCTAGACACAGATTTATTTACAAAGTTGTTGACATTCCAAGGTGTTTTATTCATACAATGCTTCCCAACTCGTATCCCAACACCAGCGACTGCATCCCTGCACCATAACAGGCTCCGCCTGTCCCTCCCACAGGCACATTTTTAAAAATTTATTTTCATTTTATAATTGATTATAATAGAGCCTCCTGCCCCCCATGCCTGGTTGTCTTCACCGGGGCCCCTTGGAGGGGGACGGGTTGAGTTTCCCTCTCCACCCCGAGCACAGCCCTGGCAGCTGAAGACCTCCGGGACCCAGACACAGACATGCTGAGACCACTCTCCACATGCTCTAGTGAGCCTCACACATGAAGGAACCGGCAGAGGAACCCAGGTGTGTGGGACCTGGTGCTGATACCTCCAAGCCTGCTCGAATCGGGGCTGGGCCTCCTCCACCCAGATCCCCCATCTTCCAGTCCTAGGCAGCTACACCCACCAACTGCCCCCCACCCCCCCAGCGCCATGTAATCCCATCAACAGCCAAGATCCAGAGACTATAACACCAAGCTCCCAGAAACATGCGGCCGCATTCTCGATCTCTGCCGTTCTGGACCTCTGCTTTGCGACCTCTTATTGTCTAGTTCTCGCTCACAGAGAACCCGGCAGGCTACTGAGAGTATCCTGCCTGCACGGCAGAGTCTGGCAAGCTCCCCATGGGGTAATCGATATTCCAAAACCCAGTAACAATGATGGGTCTCATTTCCCCGACCATGAAAGAGCCTCCAATGTGGCACTTGCTAAAATCTCAGAACTAGGATGAATGGAGACATTACTGGTGCCTACTCGAGGAAATCGATGAACAACGGGATGACAGTGATACAGTGAATTATAATTGAATCACTGTGAAATAGAGCATTGCAAAATTGTTCATGATTGGGTTTCAGTCATACAATGTTCCAACACCCATCCTTCCATCAGTGTAATTTCCTAGCACCAATGTCCCCAGTTTCCCCTCATATTCCCCCAATGTCCTCCCCACCCCAGTCTGCCTTTATGGCAGCTCACTTGCTCTCTCTCTCTCTCTCTCTCTCTCTCTCTCTCTCTCTCTCTCTTGCTCTCGCTCTCTCTCTCTCATATTAGGAATTATCGTTTGCAATACAGATGCTGAAAGATTATCATGTATATAGGAATTATCGTTTGCAATACAGATGCTGAAAGATCATCATGATATCTCGTTACCTACTTTCAACATTCGAGAAATAATCAGAGTGATCATTTCCAATGAATGTTGTCATACTGGAACCTCCTCTATGTTAAATACCCCTCCCCACCCCACCCCCCACACCCACACACATTTGTGGTCATTTTAAACCATTCACAACAGCTCTTAACAAGGCTGGGAGACCAAGCACAGGTGTTAAGACTCTTGCTTTTATGCCCCACAGACCACGGTTGAATCCCAGTGTCGTAAGTGGTCCCCCAAGCACCACCACGGGGCACTCGTAAGCACAGGGCCAGGAATAACATCACTGGGTATGACGCAACCCCCCTCTAAACCCCAATTGGAGCTCTTGTAAGTGCTCCTCCTCAACCCAGCTTTAGTGAAAGAAGTTGCACAGGATTCTGTCTCTTCTCTACAAGAGTGATGACCCATCAGTGGGTCACTGAAAGTCTGTTGCATGTTCCATGTTTTGAGGAAGCCCCAGTAATTATCATTAGTGCTTGAAAGTTTCTTCAGGTCAGCTACTTGCTATTTGCTTGTTTTTGGGCCATATCAGGTGGTGCTCGGGGGCTACCCCTGGTTTCGTGCTCATGGGGGACCCTGCAGTGTCAGGGATCACATCGGGGTCTCTCACGTGCAAAGCAAGCTCTCAGCCTGTTGCGTGTTCTCACTGGCTCTTCTGGGGGGAAATTTCAACTAATTTCCTCTTACTAAGCACTCATTCAACATCAGAGAGATAAACGTCGACTGCCAATCTTCATGCTCCTCTCATCTGCCTTCCATCTTCAGAGGAGAGTGGGTCTATGCTCCCCGCTTGCTGAGACCTACTCTCTGCACACCTTCTGCATGTGACGAGACCCTTTAGCTGGAAGCCGGGACGCGAGTCCCCAACTCCATTACTCTGCTCGGAGGAGCACTTACGGATCTGAAGATCATGTGCAGGGGCATGGCGATGTTGAGGTTCAGGGCATAGTTGTTGACCACACTGACGGTGAAGAACATGGTGACCATAATGGCGTAATACCTGAAACGCAGAAAGAATGGAAACTGCTCACTCCGGAATACTCATGGGGGTCGATGTTAAGAAGGAACTGTGTTGGACAGGGAGAGTCTCGTGCTGAGTGAAATGAGTCAGAAGGAGAGGCATGGACAGAGAATGATCGCAGTCATTTGCAGGGTGTAAACCAAACACGTGGTGTGTGAATAATACCTGAAGACAGTAGAAACAAGGCCCCCTAGAGGGCCGGGCCATGGTAGGAAGCCTGCCACAGAGGGGGAGGGGAGAACAGCTAGGGCAGAGAAGGGACCATCCCGATAACGATAGGTGGGAATGATCACTCTGGACCAAAATGGAGTGTTTAAAGTATTTAAAGGAGATAAAGAGATATACATGATACCTTTTTTCAAAAGTATTGCAAACGGGGGGGGGGGGGGGAGGGATACTGGGACTGGTGGTGGTGGAGAATGGGCACTGGTGGAGGGATGGGTACTCGATCATTGTATAACTGAAAACCCAAGCACAAAAATTTGTAAGTCTACAACTGTACCTCATGGTGTTTCACTAATAAAAATTTAAGAAAAAAAAAAGTATCGCAAACCACAGTGGCTCAATGGAAAAGTGAGAGAGAGAGAGAGAGAGAGAGAGAGAGAGTCTGTCATAGAGGTAGGCTGTGGGGACTGGGTGAGGGGGGCAGGCAGAAGGGAAACTGGGGACACTGGTGGTGGGAAATGTCCACTGGTGAAGGGATGGGTCTTAGAACACTGTATGACTAAAACCCAATCACGAACAACTTTGTAACTGTATATCTCATGGTGACTCAACTTAAAAAATTATTTAATATGCCAAACACAGTAACAAGTCTCAAAATGGAGACATTACTGGGCCCGCTCGAGCAAAAAATTATATATATAAAAAAATACCATCACTGTCACTGTCCTCCCGTTGTTCATCGATTTGCTCGAGCGGGTCCAGTAACATTGTGAGACTTGTTACTGTGTTTGGCACATCGAATACATCACGGGGAACTTGCCAGGCTTTGCCGTGCGGGCGAGATACTCTCGGTAGCTTGCCGGGCTCTCCGAGAGGGGCACAGGAATCGAACCCAGCTCGGCTGAGGTGGCTGCACGCAAGGCAAATGCCCTACTGCTGTGCTATGCTCCAGCCCAACTAAAAAGGGGCTATGGGCTATGTGTTTAAGAATATCTTGCTTACTTCCTTCTCACACCACCACTAGAACATAAAGTCAAACACCAAGCACATGTAGACACCATACAAAGCCAGACTAACCTGGAAAAGGTCTGAATTACAGAGTATTTCCAGAAACATCACTGTATCACTGTCCTCCCATTGTTCATCGATTTGCTTGAATGGGTCCAGTAATGTCTCCATTGTGAGACTTTGTTGTTACTGTGTTTGGCATATCGAATACGTCACGGGTAGCTTGCCAGGCTTTATCGTGCGGGTGAGATACTCTCGGTAGCTTGCCGGGCTCTCCGAGAGGGGCGGAGGAATCAAACCCGGCTTGGTCGAGCTGGCTGGGCTGACCATGTGCAAGGCAAACACCCTACGGCTGTGCTATCGCTCCAGAAACATAGTATTTTTAAAATATGTGCTTTTAAGAGTAAGTTTCAAAAAAAAAATCACCTAACAGATGTCAAAAGATTCTATAGTTAGTTTTGTTATTATATATAACAGTTCTTTGTAAATACGTTTCATATATTTAAACATAAAAATGGTTCCCACAAATGTCTCCTCTATACATAAACTACAGTTTATGCCAGTGTTCCTCAACAAGCCCACTATGGTTTCCCTGATATTCCAGGGGCGCACAGGTAAAAAAAACTGAGGAACCACAGCACAACAGCGCACTAAGGGGACAACTGGTAGGACATGAGGGGGTGTGGGATGGGGGGCGGGGGGGGGGGGGTAGCGCGATGAAGGAAAACAAGGCCAGAGAGAGCCAGAGTTGGAAAAAGGTCGAGAAGAACTGGTTTATGCTATTAATACTTCACTGTTTCTGAAGAGGAGATCTGTGAAGTCAAGTGTAATTTTCAGGCTAGTGACTGTTAAAAATTATCTCATTCTGAAGCAGAAAGCCTGTAAATTCACGAGAATATCACTTGTTCGGTATAGATTTGTTTTCAAAATCAATGTCCCTGTTTTCTGAGAGTTTTAAAGGTCTTTAAATAATAATAAAAACTAACCCCCCCACACACACAAATATACATCTAATGGTAATCCCCAATGATTTAGAAAAATAAAGGGATTACATACAAATGAGCAATTGCAAATTAATTAAATGCATGATTTTACATTTTCTCGCTCTCACCTTCCCACCTTCACTTACAAGTGCCTTTCAAAGCTATCAGATTGGGGGGGGGGGGAGGGTGTGTGACAGCGAAGACCAAAAGGGGTTCGAATCTCAACAAGCTTGTAGGGTTCAACCTAATACATTCACACAGAGAAAGAGCAAAAGTTGAAACACATGGCTGAAGCATGCCAAGTGAAGGAAGGGAAGTGATTCCACATTCTTTAGGCAACAGTGATCATTGAAAACAGAATCCTGGAGATCTAAAGAACGTGCGTCTCCGGCCGGAGCGACAGCGCAGAGGGTAGGGCGTTTGCCATGCACACGGCCAACTTGGGTTCGGTTCCCAGCATCCCATGTGGTACCCCGAGCAATGCCAGGAGAGATTCCTGAGCGCAGAGCCAGGAGTAACCCCTGAGCCATCGCCAGGTGTGACCCAAAAAGCAAAAAACAAACAAACAAACAAAAAAGAATGTGCGTCTCTAGTCATCACCCTGGGCGAGGACAGCATCACTGTCCGTTAGGTATGGAACCTGACAACAGTTATGCCAGAGCCGAATTTCCAGTCCAGAATGTTCAAGGCGCTTTATCGTAAGCGCAGAACACAATTTAATGGGGGCACATTCACAGTACTGTATCGGCAATGGCTGTTCCAGAGCTTCGAAAGAGAATGTTACACTGGTGACTCTTGGTTTCCTGGCAAATTTTCCTGGTCCTGCCTTGAAAACCTGAAAGGATGGCGTAGAGTGAAGGTAAAGAGTTCACCGAGGTCTTTGGGGGGTGATAATTAATTCAAACGCCTTCTCGTTGCTGCTTACGTAACACTGTCAAGAAACTGCTCGCGGGGATGAGAGACAGGAGCGAGATTCTGGTTACAGCTTCACATATACAGAAAATAAAAAGGCTCACACAAAAGAGTTCTGTGGGAGAACGGCTGTTAGGGCAAGACCGTGGGGAGCCCAAAATGGTAGGCTGAGGGGACTGGGCTTCATTCAGAACCTAGCGGAGGCGATTTCTGCCTCCTTGTAAGAGGGGGTGTCAAGATGAAGGAGAAGGAGAAGGAGGGGAAGGGGGAGGAGGAGGATGGAGGGAGGGAGGGAGGGAGGGGGGAGGTGGGGGAGGAGAAGGAGGAGGAGGAGGAGGAGGAGGAGGAGGTGGCGGCAGGAACGGGAGCCAACAGGGACACTATTATACACTATTATACACGTCTTCATGGTGAGAACAAATTCTTCCCAATCCCCACTGGATGCAGAGAGACAGAGAGAAACAGGAGGAGGAAAAGGAAGGGGTCAGAGAAGTGGAAAATGCTGGAACTCCTCTGGGGACTGAAATGCTGATCTGGGGAGCAGAAAAGGCACAGGCAGACACTAAAGGCCATGACAGGCCAATCGAAGAGCAGCGGGAAATAGAGCTCACCCTGAGAAAAGTGACTCTGTGAACGAAGATTGGCAAGGACGCGCCTTCACAGCTGGTCCTTCCTGCAGCCCCTCTACGGAGGGTGCAAGTGAGACCCTCCTCCCGAGTGGGCACATCTGCAGGATCACACCCCCGGGTTTCCTGTCTCTGCCAGCACTAGTGCGGAGCTGTCGGCCTGCTGTCTATTCTAAGAGTTGCCCTACTTTCCAGAGGGCCACTCAAGTGCAGTTATGCCCACCCGAACTCACAGACCAGGGTCTAGAGTCCAGGGGTTGCCCAGCAGATCCCGGGCACTTCCTTGGAACTGGGATGAAATTCTGTTCCCAGAAATCATCCATTTGAAAGAGAACAAGTCAGGACCGTCACCCTCTGTATCTTCGATGTCATCTGGGCTTGGAGGGTTTTGTTTGTTTGGACTACACCACTCAGAATATTTTCCCAACAGGAGGAGGACACACATCACAATGAAGAAAAAAGAAAAAGCTGTCATGCAACCAGGTCTTTAACTTGCATAGACCTACCTTCTTGCTTCCATCAGAGCCATTTTAAAAGCTGTGGACAAGAATTTTAGGCTCCATTCCTCTCAGAATGGGAAATGCGTGATGAGAGTAGACTATAGACCGAAAAAGATTGCCACTCAACGTCTCTTTTGCAAACCACAGCACTCAAAAGGAGAAAGATAACAAAAGGGAATGCCCTGCCACAGAGGTAGGGTGGGATGGCGGGGTGGGGGGAGGGAGGGATACTGGGACTGGTGGTGGTGGAGAATAGGCACTAGTGGAGGGATGGGTACTGGATCATTGTATAACTGAAACCCAAGCACAAAAATTTGTAAGTCTGCAACTGTACCTCATGGTGTTTCATTGATAAAAATTTAAGAAAAAAAAAAAGAATTTTAGGCTCAAAATAGACTCATGGAGAGTCACCGTTATGTCAGTCCAGGTAACGCACTGTCACTCTGTCTAACTTTGCCACGGGCCTGAGGGAGGGCCGTGTCAGAGGAGGCGGACAGGGTCCCCTCCCGCCGGCTATCAGGGACGCCTTCAGTGCGCCTTACCTTATTGGGATGGTCGGCGGCTTCCTTCCCAGATCGGCCTCAAAGAGGAAGCCCTCCACAGCGATAAACAGAAACTGTGCAAACGTCACAATGTTCCCACATCCTGGATGTTTCCTGTGTGGTGGATGACAGAAAGAGGGAGAAGATATAAATAAGAGGCTGCGATAACGGGTTCGAAGACTTGCTATTTTTGAGAGTCCAGGATAATGGGACGAGGCTTTTTAATCACCCACTGTCCTTCACGTGCTCTCCCGGTCCCCCCCAAGCCTGGGTCACACAACGTCTGACAATGTACCTCGAGGAGAGGGAGGATGGGCTTCTCTAGTTCTCTCTCCCTGTGGGGCAGGCGGCAGGCCAGGAGTCAGGTTCACACCGATATACCCACACCCAGAATGACTTTCCCAGTCAGCCGCAGTCAGCTGCTCACAGCCGGGTCCTTAGTTCACCAAAAGGATCCCAGAACACTAAGGCAGCCCCGGCCAGGAGCAGAAACAAGCTCAGGATTCTGCTCTGGAATGTTTACATATTTGTCCCCAGAAGAACTCACCATCACTGCTATCAAAGGCATATTACCAGGGCTGGAGCAGTAGTACAGAGGGACCAGGGCTGGAGCAGTAGTACCGTGGGTAGGGCGTTTGCCCTGCATGCAGCTGACCCGGGTTCGATCCCTGGCATCCCATAATATGGTCCCCCAAGCACTGCCAGGAGTAATTCCTGAGTGCAGAGCCAGGAGTTAACCCCTGAGCATTGCTGGGTGTGACCCAAAAGGGCAAAAAAAAGGGGGGTGCACGTTACCTTCCATGGCATCCCCCATATAAAAATCAGTTATTAAAAACTCACCTTAAAAATAACTAATTTTGGGGCTGGAGCAATAGCACAGTGGGTAGGGTGTTTGCCTTGCACGCGGCCGACCTGGGTTCGATTCCCAGCATCCCATATGGTCCCCTGAGCACCGCCAGGAGTAATTCCTGAGTGCAGAACCAGGAGTAACCCCTGAGCATCGGCTTGGTGTGACCCAAAAAGCAAAAAAACAAAACAAAACAAAAAACTAATTTTTAGGGTGCAGTAGTCGGGGAAGGTTATCCCACATGTCTTATCCACCCCAAGTGCAGATATACGGGCAGCGCAGAAACCAGGACCTGGCATATGGCATACCTGTGGATGGGGTACCTGGAGGATGGGGGGGATATCCGAATCATCCCTGGAGGCAGGCCATCAGGAAGAAAGGACTTGTAGCATAACATTGCTTTGCCCTTTCTCCCTGGCCGCAGTGAGCTTGGGTTTGTTGATTGTTCCCCCAATCTGTCAATTACCTTTGTCTCCGGATCAGACTCCGGTGACTTGTAAATATTGCTTTCTCTTCTCCTTAATGTCTGAAGTTAGTTACTTCAGAACAACTGCTTTTTGTATGGACACAGTAATAGACACATTTGGGCTTGTAGGGCGATTCTCCTGGCAACATCTCAGACTACAGTTTTCAGGCCGGATTAATAATTCCTAACCCGGGTTGGGTTTGAATTACTTTTTAGATTATGACAGAATTTGTCCATAACCCAGCTCTTAACTTATAGTTAAGTATTATGGCACTTTGGCCTGGCCCATTTCAATGCCAGGGTAGCTCACTGCTTGTCCTGGGTCCATCCAATCCCTTGCCGGGACCCTGCTTTTGGGGATCTAGGAAATAAGGGCAACTGAGGCTTAAGTCGAGAGAACAGATGTTCAGGGGGTAATATTATATGGAGTTGGGGGGGGGGGGGTGAGGGCGGAGCGATAGCACAGCAGGTAGGGCATTTGCCCAGCAAGCAGCTGACCTGGGTTCAATCCTCAGCATCCCAAATGGTCCCCCAAACACCGCCAGGAGTAATTCCTGAGTGCAGAGCCAGGAGTAACCCCTGAGCATCACTGGGTTTGACCCAAAAAAAGAAAAAAAAAATTATATGGAGTCAATTAACTCCCAAGTGATAAAAGCACATCTTTTTAACTATCTTTCAGTGTCCATACAAAAAGTAATTGCTCTGAAGCAACTAACCATGCAAAGGACATAAAGGAGAAGAGAAAAACAATATTTACAAGTCAACGGAGTCTGATCAAGAGACAAAGGTAATTGACAGGTTGGGGAAGCAATCAACAAACCCAAGCTCCCTGCGGCCAGGGGGCCAGGGAAGAAGGGCAAACCATTGTTATCCTACAGGACTGAGGGACACTGTTCCAAATATTGAGGAATGCTATTCTAATCCCCTCCTCTATTGAGGACAGCTGTTCTAATCCCCTATGATTAGAACATAATCTCTATGCTCGGAACATGGTGGCCCCAACATACTGGGTGCAGCACAAACGCTTTTGAAATCCCATCAGTGGTCCTTGGTACTTATGGATGTGAAGGCTGGGGACACTGCACCAGGGGCTGCTGGGACCAGAGTCACGAGACGGAAAAAGCCCTCAGAAGTCTGGCTTGAAGCACATGGGGAGTGTGTGTGTGTGGGGGGGGGGGGGGGGGGGGAGATTCGTTACTTTAAATGTGTTTGTGTGTGTTGGGGTGGTGGGAGATAATACAGCAGGTAAGGGCTACAACCCACCTGAGCAATATCAGGCATGATCCCTGAGCACTGGTGCGGCCTCCGGACAAACAAAACAAAACAAAAGAAAGGAGCATGCCCATTATTCTCTGCCGCACTCAGTACAAAGAGTTGAAATCTGGAATCAACCTAGATTCCAAATTCCATCAACAGGTCAGAGGACCATGCAGATGCGGTGTAACTGACATACTATGCAGTGGAAAGGAATGATGAAATCGTGCAATTTGCTGCAACATAGATGGAACGGGAAGATATCACATTAAATGCAGTAAGTCAGAAGAAGGATAAATCCAAGATGATGTCACTTGTATGTGGTATGAGAGTCAACTGGAATGAGAAAATGCAATGATTTAAATGGTTTAAAGGTGTGCGTGGCCTAGATCACCCTTGGCCCTAGAGTAGAGGGAGGAGAAAGAAAAAGAAAGAGAGTGAAGGGGAAGGGGGGAAGAGATAGAAGAGGGCCGGGGGTCAGGTCTACGATGAGGGGTCACAGCCATGGCACAGAGAATAAGGCGCTTGCCCTGCATGCTGCTGACACAGGTTTGATCCCCTGCAGGATTCAGGTTCATGTGTGGTGTTAAGGAATGATCACTGTCACTGTCCTCCCGTTGTTCATCGATTTGCTCGAGCGGGCCCAGTAACATTGTGAGACTTGTTTCTGTGTTTGGCATATCGAATACTTCACGGGTAGCGTGCCAGGCTTTGCTGTGTGGGCGAGATACTCTCGGTAGCTTGCCGGGCTCTCCGAGAGGGGCAGAGGAATCGAACTCGGGTTGGCCACGTTGGCTGCGTGCAAGGCAAACGCCCTACCCGCTGTGCTATCGCTCCAGCCCGTTAAGGAATGACAGTGCTGAATATCCAAACCACGGAGTCAACACCAACACATCACAACACCCCAACTTTAATAACCAAACTTAAAAAAGTGCCTGTCGGGATGGCAGGCTGGGGCGAGGGCAGGAGAGGAGAGGGGACCTGGGAACTCTGGTGGTGGGATCGGTGATGGAACACTGAGTATCAAAAACCCAACTAGAAAGAAGTTTGTAACTCACAGTGCTTTAATTAAAAAAAAATTGGGGGGGTCGGGGGGAACGGCGTGCAGTTCTCTAAGTGTCCCTCCACATCAAGCTCCTCACCAGAGAGAATCCCACTATGGCTTTCAGCACTTCCGTGTTCAAGGGACAGGGTTAAATGTGGCAGGAATCCATAAATAACCATCCAAGACTTCTGCCTCATCCAAGGAGCTAATTAAAGCCATTAGCCTCAATAAATATGAACGAGGAGGAGGTTCGGCGCTGGATAGCTCCAGGCTCGGTGCTTTTCAACTCTGGCTTGGTATTTCTTAAAAGACCAAGGGCCTAAATAAATAAATAAATAAATAAATAAAAGACCAAGGGCCCGAGGACCTTCCTCCACCTGGTTCTGATCCAAATGGTCCCGGGGAAGGTCCTGAAACCTGGACTTTTGAAAGCTTTCCTTCCATTTCTTAAGATGCCACCAGAGCTATGAGACAGAAAGATAGGGGCAGCTAATTTCTAGGTGCTAACACTGGATTGAGGGCTGAGAAATGTAGGGGGGGGGGGGCACTTAGATCTGGGAGCTGTGTGTGTGTGTGTGTGTGTGTGTGTGTGTGTGTGTGTGTCTGGTTGAGAAGCACCAGTGATTAAAAGGATACGATAAGGGGTCACAGCCATAGTGCAGTGAATAAGGCGCTTGCCCTGCATGCTGCTGACACAGGTTTCATCCCCTGCAGCCCATACTGGTCCCTGAACACTACCAGGAATAATTTCTGAGTGCAAAGCCAGGAGCAAGCCCTGAGTATCGCTGGATATGGCCCCAAAGCAAAAAAAAAAAAAAAAAGGACATCATGACATAACAGGATTCATCTCTGTCACTTTCCTTGTTAAGGGCAGAAATTAATTACCCTCAGTCCAATTTTCTTATCTGTAAAATGGGAGCAATTATGCTTATCTCAGCGGTTTATTGTACAATAAATAAACCAGTCCCTGGGGCGGGGGAGATAGCTCCAAAGACATGCTCTGCATATAGAAGGGCCAGGTTCAACTCCGACCCCACTATCCCGGGCACTGCTTGGATCCCTGAGCACAGGTGGGAGCAATCCCCAGAACAGGGCTGGGAGTAGCACAAACACCCCAACATAAACCAATGAAAACAAGCCAGTCCCTAGAAGGCACTTGACACAGTGCCTGCCACAGAGGGGCAAAAAGTAAAGCCTTGAACATCAGTATTGGGGACCTCACATACTTCAATATAAGCAGAGAGACCCTTTAAGAGAGCCCGGCAAGCTACTGAGAGTATCTTGCCCGCACGGCAAAGCCTGGCAAGCTACCTGTGACTTATTCAATATGCCAAACACAGTAACAATGAGTCTCAAAATGTTACTGAGCCCGCTCAAGCAAATCGATGAACAACGGGAGGAGAGTGCAGTGTACTCACCTACACAAGGCATGAAATCTATTCATCTGTTTTTAGTGTTGGGGACAAGATTCCAAGAGAAAATATACAGAAGGCAACAAACAC